TTGGAAACCCAAGGAAGGCTCACTATGAGCCGGAGATGACTCGACGGCACATAACAACACAACAACAGTGACCCTACAGAACAAAATAGAACTGCCCCATAGAGTTTCCAAGGCTATAAATCTTTATGGAAGCAGACCTCCACATCTTTCTCCTGAGGACTGGTGCAGCTGATGGATTCAAACCACCGACCTTTCAGTTTAGCAGCCAAGTGCTTAACCACTGCACCACTCTGGCTCCTCTGTAAAGATTATGGCCTAGGAGATCCTGTGGTGCAGTTCTTTGTCCCATAAGGTTGCTATGAGTTAGAGTCAACTCGATGGCACACAACAGCAGAAGGTAAGATGAGACTAGTAGCATCCCACTTCAGTGCCAGAATTTTGGGATCATAGTTCCACCTGGAGATTAACCCCAGGAAGGTCTTTAGTCAAGTCTAGCACCTCTGTTGGAAGTTTTATCATCACTGTATTTCACTATTTTAGAATCATACACCAAGAGTTGGAAGAATCCTTAAGAAGCCATCTATTGAAGTTTCACCTTTATACAAATAGTAAAGTGGGGCTCAAGTGGGAGAAGGGACAGACTCAGGATCATAGAGTGAATCAATTGCAGAGCTTAAGCTTCCCAGCTGTAGGCTCTGTGGGTTACTTGGAGCCAAATGAAGCAAAATTCTTACCCTGGCTAAAGTGAAAAGATAAGGAGGACTGGGGAGAGAAGGCTTGTGTCTTCACCTCATTTCACCATAAGCTGAGTTCCAAATTGGTCATTGGCACCTGGTAACAACTTTCCAGGGCAATTCAATAGAGAAGATGCTGAAAACAGTAACACAAGATAAAGAGAGCTAGGGACAATGGTGAGCCTAGAGGGGGATGAGAGGAAAGTGCTTTCCTTCTGCAGCATAGGTAGGGACCTGGCCTCTGTTCATCACCACTAACCTTGCCTCCACCTGAGCCATAGGCTGACTGATAGCAGACAGCCAGCAGCCATGCCAGCCAGATAGCTAGGACACCCTATCCAGGGCTGCCCTGTGCAGTCTTGCTTCTCTATTTTTTTTCACTCATCCTTTTCTGTCCACCTCTTAAGTGCATTCATGTTCAAAATTTGAAACATAAAAGGGTGCTATGTGAAAAGTCCCTCCTATGCATACACAAGCTTCTATGTGTGTGTGTGTGTGTGCATATGCATGTGCATGTGTGCACATGCACGTGTATTTTCCCCCTCATTCTCTTGATGCTCCATTTGGTCCCATCATTCCCCACCACCAATGACTTAATTGCCTCCTAAGCTTGAGCCAGTCTCAAGTAAGACTTCCCCCAGGTTAAAAAGGATGGGACTCACATCTGAGAGGTTCCTGTTTGAGGTCTTGAGTTTCTGGTAGTCCCCAGTCTTGAATACTGACCTGCCAGCCACCACACTCTGCCCCATCCTAACCTTGACTTCACCAAGATTCTGAGTAGCCATGAACAGAGCTTCCCTAGCAGCTGTGGTACCGGGAGATTTTGTCCTGTGTTCCTCTCTTATCACTGGGACTGCTTGGGACAGCTGGGAGTAATTACACTGGATTTTATCTTGAAATTGTATTAATAGTTTATTCCTTGATTAGAGCTCAAAATGCAGCTTTTTTTTTTTTTTTTTTAACTTCTTACTGTGATTTGGGTGAAAATTGAGAGCCAATTCATTTTCCATGCAACAGTTCATACACATTTTGTTTCATAACATTGATTGCAATCCTCACAATGTAACAGCTCTCTTCCCACTTCCTCCCTGTGGTTACCTTTTTCCTGTCTTCTCCTTTCCTATGTATTCTTGCCTCTTGAGCTGTCTCCCTGTGCAAATGCTGCCCTTCTGATCTCCCATGTTCTAGAAGTGTACTTCCCTGGTGTTATTGTTCACCTTGTAGTCCTACCTGTTGTTTGGCTGAAGTTAAGCCATGGGCATGAGTTCAATACCAGGCCCAAAAGGTTACTAGGGGCCACAAAGTCTTGGGGGTTTCACCAGTCTACCAGACCAGTAAGCCTGTTTTTTTTGTGTTTTGTTTTTTTTTAATGATCAAAATGCACCTCCTGTATAAACTGTAATCGGTCTACATTCTTGAATTGTATTTTGTGTTGAAAAGGAAGGGCACTTACTTACTATTTTTTTATTTTTTAAAAAATTTTTCTTGTGATTTGGGTGAAAGTTTACAGAGCAAATTCATTTTCTATACATTCATACACATTTTATTTCATGCCATTAACTGCAAGTCCCCACAATGCAACAGCATGGTTCCCACTCCTCCCTATAGTTACCTTTTCCCTGTGTCTTTCCCATGCATCCCTGCCCCCCTGAGCTATCTCCCTGTGCAAATACTGCCCTTCTGTTCTCCCATAGTTGGTCCTTCCAAGAAGTGTATTTACTTGATGTAAATATTCACCCTATATGCTTGTCTATTGTTTGGCTAGAAGCCATGGGAGTGAGTTGAGTTCCAGACCTGAAAGGTTAACTAAGGGGCCATAGTCTTGGGGATCTCACCAGGCTCTATCACACCTGGTCTATTTAATAATTTTGAGTTTTGTTCCACATTGTTCTCTTACTTTATCCAAAATCTCCTATACTGATCCCTTTCCAGGTGGTTGACAGTGGTAGCTGGGCACCATCTAGTTCTTCTGGTCTCACGGTCATATAAGCTAAGGTTCGCATGGTCTGCCTGTCCCCTGGACTAATTGTTTCCATGCATCTTTGGTTTTCATCATTCTTCTTTGCTCCAAATGAGGGGAGACTCATTGTTGCATCTATACAAGGAAGGGCGCTTATGCCTATGGTGGTTCTTCTGGACTGCACGTGGCCTCCTGGAATTGTTACATACCACCACATACCAGGGGCTCATGAGGGCAAGGTAAAATCAAAGCAACAGACCAGATTGGGCTGCTGGCAGAGTTTATTTGCAGGCTAGGACCTTACTGCTCTCCTGACTTACTCCCCACTAGGGTGGACTGGTCCTCAGAAAGGATTTCTGTGTCCCTCTGAGTGTTTCAACTGCTCTCAGAATTTGGGTTTTCTACCATAATAAGAAGAGTCTGACTGTGTGAATTGTGGAGGATGTTGCAATTGAAGTTTGGGTTGCTGTAATGTTTATAAAGTTTATCCAAGGTTACTTTTGTGTCCTGGACCAGAGAAGGTACTCATGGCCTTCTTGTGATGCCTGTGTCTATCACACAGTCAGTAAAACATCCCTGGAGTCTGCAAACCAGAGCAGATTATTTTTTATTCTACCCTTCCCAGGCCAGAGCTGAGTGGCGACAGGTGGGGCTGGGCTGGGCTAGATTAAATATTAATGAAGCTATCATCACTGTCCAGAGGAACAAGTGCCCCAGAGCCAAGTTACAGAGCTACCTGGTGGCACTTAGCTGAGGAGGTGGTAGCCAGTAGACATGGCTCAATTTGTCCAGGTCTTGACTGAGATAGGCGACTTCGGTCGCTTCCAGATAATGCTACTGATATTGTTGAGTATCCCCAACTTCCTGTCTGCCTTTTACATGTTTGCCCAGGTTTTCATGGTCCTTGATGAGACCCACTACTGTTCAGTGGCTTGGGTCAAGAACCACACTTTCAACCTAACTTCTACTGATCAGCTGAACCTGAGTGTGCCTCTGGATGCTGCTGGCAAGCCTGAGTCCTGCCTCATGTTCCGGCCACCCCCTGATAACGCCAGCCTGGAGGACATCCTCAGCCACCGGTTCAATGAGACACAGCCTTGTGCAGCTGGCTGGGACTACCCTGAAAACAAGTCCCAGTCCCTTACAAATGAGGTAGGACTGCCCTTTTGCCTGTCTGTCTTAGTTCCTCTGCTTGACTCTCTGCCTTCAGTCAGTACTGTTGTTCTGCCTGTGTATCTGCCCTATGTATGGTTGGCCACAGGTGTGCCTGTTTTTCATTTCCCAATAATCCTGTTGTTTTATTTATTTTTTTGTTTATCCTTTGCCTATCAGCCTATTTCTCACTATCAATTTTTTTCTGTGTAGTCTTTCTGCCAATCTATCATCTTTGCCTGTCATTTTGTCTTTCCTTCTCCCTCTGCCCATTTGCCCAGTTGCCTGCCTTTCTTCCCATGCCCTTCTATTTTCCTATCTTCATGCCTTTCTTTCATTAAGTGTTCCCATCTATCTGTCTGTTTGCCTATGTCTTTCAGTATTATTCCCCCAAATATCTACCTGGTTGCCTATCTTTCTGTGTTTTCTTAACTCTTTTCTTATGTTCTCTTTTCCCTTGTTCACCATTGTCTACCTTCATGCTTGCTTGCCCCAGGTTACCTGCCTTTTAGTTTCTAAGCTCTATAGGTGTCTGTCAGGAGCTCCAGTAGCATAGTGC